ATAGGGTAAAAAAAGGTAAAAATAGATATTTTTTTACCGTAACTAATTTATGCTATTTGTTTATTTATTTTTCATCGTAAAAACGATCTCTGTTTTCATACTATATTTAACTTGAAAACTTGTTGTCCTAAATCGATACTGAATATTTATGTTTCCTTACTCAAGTACTAAGAAAATTGATTCTTAAGTATGAAAACCACCGCAAAATACGAGTTGTCCATTAACAGAATTTATCACATCGATGTAACAGTTCTCTTGGGGCAAGTATTGAGTCGAATCATGAAACTTTTCTGTCATCTATTGAAAGCCACTTTATCGGGTAGAAGTTCGCCAAGAAAAGTTGCTCCTCTCGTTAGCCACCATCGTGGAACACGGACACGCGAAACTTCCCTTTTCTTCTTCGTCTTTTTACCACCATTTTCCATCCTTTTTTATCGCCCTTAGTGCTGCACGAAGCACAAGAAACGAGTCGGTTAGTTGGAAACGATCTCCCCGGTTTCCGCGACATTCGATACGTTTGCCCATTAACCATTTTATTTCTCTGTGACGGACATTCGCGATATAATCGGAAGTCGCGAGAACAACGCTGTTGGGCAACTGTTAGGTACAAACGATACAACTGACATTTGATGGACACTTCAATCTCTTTATAAAAATTTTTTTTAGACTTGCTTTTCAGTAATTCAGTTTCAAATGACAGTGAGCATCAGAAAACAGTCCTTCATAACTTTTTAAAGACTCTTTCTCTAGAGATGTATTCTAGAGATGTATTCTTTAGAATGAAAAATATTTATTGAAAGACATTAACATATTTTTGTAAAAAGAAATATATTCTCTAAATTCCTCCTATGTAAACATATACTTTTGAAGCAAATGAGTAAATTTTTAGTTCTAAATTTTTATTTCTGTTATAATAATAAAAATTTGGAGCAAGTAAATTTTGTACTCGCATACATTTTAATTCAAGTATGAATTTGTTGATAAATCTAAGAAGTTTAATTTTTGAAATCGTAAAAGCAAATTAAATCGACAAAGGTTGATTCTATATTGAACGTAAAATATTAGGTCGAGTCATAAGTAACTTCCGTTTTTTTATCAGACATTTATTTCGTTCTCATTAAACAACAAAATTATATTATTTTATTATATATTCACCACTATTTTCTATAACCTTCTCCCATTTTCCTGGTAGTTTATCAATTCCTTCCTTGTAAAATGTGGTTGGTTTGGACTGGAAGAAGCTTTCAACAGCCTGCCTGACTTGCTCTTCAGAATTGAAGGTTTTTCCATTTAAAAAGTTTTGTAAGGAACAGAAAAGGTGGTAGTCTGTCGGGGCAAGATCTGAGAAGTAAGGTGGATATGGTAAAACAGACCATCCAAGCTCAAGAATTTTTTCTTGAGCCACCCTTGCTGTATGCGGTCGCACGTTGTCGTGTAAAAGAATGACATTTCTGCGATTGACGAGTGCAGGGCGCTTTTCTAGGAGTTTCTCTTGCACTCTTTGCAATTGCTGAATGTATTTATCCGCAGTAATCGTTAAATTTGACTTCAACAACTCGTGGTGACTTATACCTTCATAATCTCACCATACACACAATAAAATCTATTTAGCTACATCGGAAGTTACTTATGACTCGACCTAATAGTTTATTGGAGATTCTTTAAGTAGTTTGTCATGTCTGAATGTTTTGAGTATCTTTCCAAACCGACTGGTGATACATGTAACGACTTCTTCAACTTACTTTCGGAAATCTTAGACAGCATTAGCTACGACTCTGGTGAAGTTAACTTTTCACTTCGATCGAGTCTACTTTAAACTTCGCGGGCTACTTTTCGAGTGTAACAGACGCGCTTGGAGGGTTTGCAGATCTGGTGCGATTATTTCTTGTTGAAATTTATTTATGTTTCTATGATTTAATGTTATAAAAAATCTCATACATAATTCAATTCATAGTTTAATTAATTCATTGATTAAATGTTAAATATCACCATTGTAATCAGTACAATTATTAAACATTTTAAAAAATAATCCAATACGAGATTGACATCAATACTTACTTATTTAAGTATTAATTACCTATTAAAAAAATTAACATTTCGAAATCGAATACTAAATGCCATCATTAGCATCGCAGATCTTATATCAAAATTTCTACAAAATTAACTTTCTATAATAATTGATCATAATATTTCTAATAACATGTAAATCGGATGAATTATTTTTCACGATGCGTTACTTATTCACGTATCTGAATAATCGCAACGAATGGTTCATTAACACGGTACGGAAATGTAATAGCAATTTCCTGGTATATAACAATTTCCCTACCTTATGCATACTTTCATTGATTCGCATAATGAATGCAGAGTGCTGTTCCGAATCAAATGGATATTTAAACAGCTTCATAATGAGCCATTTGTCGTTATCATAATTTCATCGCCCTGTCTTTAAAATACTTATCGAATTATTAATTATAATCAATATCCCTGCACTCGTACAATTACTAGGTTACATATTTTAATTGTTTTAATTTTAATTCTGAATACCATATTCATTATGTACAGAAGTGTCTTTATGGATCTGTTCACTTTGCGTTGAAATTTTACCGTAACAATTATATTACCACATAAATTGATTTAGTTGTTTGTTCAAACAATTTTAAATTTGAGAAATAAATTCAATTACGAGTTCATATATTTTTCAGTATTTTAATAATTAGTCGTGTTCAAGATTTTTTGGCTTATATTACTTTTGATATTGTACAGTTGTTACAGTTCATATTGCAACTTTTTTTTAGAGTTTATGGTCGCCTCACCTACCACCCCTTTTCGGTTCTTACAATAATCGTGGTACACCCTGTATAAATGAAATGACAGAATTTTACAATTTTCGCAACACTGGTAATTTGTAATATAATCATTTTCGATCAAATTTGAATTTCATATCAGTACATTACAAATTGTATTTCGCTACTTATTTATGTTATTAACTCTTGTCAGATCTGAATCCCAGAATTCCTGATCTGACAACATATTAAACTTCTGTTTTTAAATTTTATTTTCCTCATGTTCCCCAATATTATGACGAATCAATGTCAGTGAAAAGATTCAAGTTGCATGAAAATTTATACGAAACGAAGTAAGAATGCGATTTCCGGTCGAATGCGAGTGCATTTTCATAAGACGCATACGTTGTGAACCGTAGGAGCTGTATTTATCATTGATCGCGTAATTCATGTTTGCAAACTGGTTGTTCCGCAATTTCGCGAAACTTTCCACGACTATCGGTTCCGACAGAGAAACCAGCAAACTTGTAGCCAGACTTTACATGCCAGGTTAAAGCTCGCTTAAAGTATCTTTACTCTGTGCTCCTGGTTCTCGCCATCATTTATTTAGCATCATTTATTACGTCGAATGTTTCGTCCGAGTTTCGCAATGTCAACTTCGAGGAAAATTGATAATCGTATTTCAGGCGAATACGATCGACAAGGAAATATTGAGGCTTTCAAATATTTATTTCCTACTCGATCGTATTTTCTACCAAATTTGTTGATCGAGTTGATTTTTTTATTTTTTTTATTGGGTTTTATTTTAGTGGATTCTACTCATGTTTTAAATTAATGGATTTTATTTATGTTTTAAATTAATGTTTTTAATTTATGTTTTAAGTTAATGTTTTTAATTTATGTTTTAAATCAATGGATTTAATTTATGTATTAAATTAATGGATTTAATTTATGTATTAAATTAATGGATTTAATGAACATTTTTAATTTGAACATTTTATTTATGTTGTTAACTAATGAATTTAATTTATGTTTTAAATTAATGAATTTAATAAATGTTTTTTATTTGAGGAATTTTTGTAGATTTTAAATTAATGGATTTAATTTACGTTTTAAGTCAATGAATTTAGTTCATGTTTTCAACTAATGAATTCAATTTATCTTTCAAATCAATGGCTATAACTCATTCTTTAAATTAAAGGATTTAATTTATTGTTTTCATTAATGTGTTTAGTTTATGTTTTCAATGAAAAGATTTAACAAATATTTCTAATTTATAAATTCACTGTAAATTTAAATTTAAGGGACTTAATTTATGCATTTGATTAAGGGATGCAATTTAATATATGTAGTAGATGGATTTAATGTTTTAAATAAATAGGTTTTCTTGTATAAAAAATAAAAATGGACAAGGGACATTATCAGTGAATTCAGATTATTTATTGGTGCTAAATGTAATAAAAGTGTGAAGGTGCGTTCAATGACTATCGACAGTGAATGCTCGAAAGATGGTGTGTCTTGGGAATTTAATCGCCATTATGGAGGAACGTGACTTTGATAAAGACACCATCGACACAGACTCCCTAGAGTCAGAGGTAACGAACCTAATGAGACTTGCTTACTTGTACTCCAGTATCAAAAAGAAAATGTGATACTCCTCTGCTGATCTAATAGCAAATTTTTGTACAAAATATATGGTAATATATTTGTGAAACTTTCAAGTTATTTCTTCAAAATTTATTAGAAAAAATTGTCACCTAAACAACAAATAAAAGGTAGAAATTCTGTTAACCTATAAATCATTTATCCTAAAATAAATAATACAATTATTGAGTGATATAATAATTTCTAACAATGCAGAATAGAGTCGAACCTGAAAAACAATTTTGGTAAAAATAAATACCGCAAACAATTAGCACCCAGTACAGCTTAAACAAGTGATCATCAATTTTATCTTAAAATAAATAACATAACGCAATTATTTCGTGATATAATAATTTTAAAAAATGCAAAACAAAGTCGACCCAAAAAGACTTTTATTTCATAAAAATAAGCACTGCAAACATTGGTTAGTATAATTTAAAGTAATAAGCAAAATGACACAATTCAATAATAAAACCCAACCAGAAAGACTCAAAAAATAGCAACAATACATCAAGAAGCAATATCAATTCACTTTCATCAGACTAAAAGCATTCTGCATTGATGTTACAGGCAATACAGTTGTCATCCTGTCCAAAACAATTGGATCTCAGCAATGGCGGACTGTCAAGAATCCCTGACAGTGCTGTAGCGTTTCCAGCGATTGAAGAGCTGGTGTTGAGCCAAAATCAACTTTCAAACACAAACAACAATCTGATACTGTTACACAGGTACGAGTCAACGAGACAATGTAACCGATGCAATCGATCGTCACGAAAATATTCTGTATTTTCAATTTAACCATCTAGGCGTAGTCGATTAAGTTTCCTTTTAATGCAGGTTCCCGAAACTTCGTGTACTCCATTTTGAGAGCAACGAGTTGATGAGAATTCCACGGGAGTTACTGGAGCTTAGGGAGTTAACCTACCTCAATCTCTCAGACAACAAAATCGAGAAGATTCCGGCTGACATAAGCCAGCTTATCAAGTATGTAAACTCTTTTATCAGATCTCGTTGGACCAAACACGTTGCAAAGAAATGCAACGATGCTTGTTTTCATTTAGTGGAATTATACAGGTGATTGGTTAACACGTGGAATTAGTACGGTGTAAAACGTTGGATAATTTTTCTGTTTCTTGGAGATAGAGAAATTTTCCGTGAGATTTTTATATTTGTGAGTTTGATAATCGAGGAATTTTCTGATTACCGAATTTTTATTGTATGCGGTTTTCGAGTTACTGAATTTTTATTTCAAGTTTCAACACTTTGAAATATGTTGGTGTTCAAGTTTTTGGAATTTCTGAATTATTTGTTTCATGGTAAATACCTAAAGTACCAATTCCAAATCTTCCTCATTCTCGGATTAGCAATTCCAAATACCCCAAATTTCTAAGTATGCAATTTCAAATTCCCCAAATTCCTAGATTAGCAATTTCAAATTTGCCAAATTCCTAGATTAGCAATTCCAAATTTTCCAAATTCTTAGATTAGCAATTCCAAATTTCCCAAATTCCTAGATTAGAAATTCCAAATTTTCCAAATTCTTAGATCAGGAATTCCGAATTTCCCACATTCCTAAATTTGCAATTCCAAATTTCTCAAATTTCTAGGTTGCCAATTCCAAATTTCCCAAATTCTTAGATCAGGAATTCCAAATTTCCCACATTCCTAAATTTGCAATTCCAAATTTCTAGGTTGCCAATTCCAAATTTTCCAAATACCTAGATTAACAATTCCAAATTTCCCAAATTCCTAAATTTGCAATTCCAAATTTCCCAAATTTCTAGATTAGCAATTTCCAATTTCCCGAATTCCAAAATTAGCAATTCCAAAATTCCCAAATTCCTAGATTAGAAATTCCAAATTTTCCAAATTCTTAGATCACGAATTCCAAGTTTCCCACATTTCTAAATTTGCAATTCCAAATTTCTCAAATTTCTAGGTTGCCAATTCCAAATTTTCCAAATTCCTAAGTATGCAATTCCAAAATTAGCAATTCCAATTTTCCCAAATTCCTAGATTGCCAATCCCAAATTTGCCGACTTCCTAGATTTTCCATTCCAAATGTCTTAAATTTCTAAATTTGCAATTTCAAATTTCCAAATGTGCAATTCCAAATGTCCCTAATTTTTAGATTGCAAATACAAAATTTCACCAATTCCTAGGTTAGCAATTGCAAATGTCCCAGGTTCCTAGATTTTCCATTTCAAATATTCCATATTACAAAATTTGCAATTTCAGATTTCCAAAATTTCCAAATTTGCAATTCCAAATTTCCTAAATTTCTGACACCATTAATTTTCACTCACCCACTTCTCCTATTCCCCAGATTCTAAAGAACCCAGGTTTCCAGTATTCGCGCCGGTCGAAATTTCCATATTATAAGCGTATTCAAACCGAAGACAAAGTACAATATTTCTCTGCTTAAGAAGTCATTCGATTTCACTAGAAATTGATTTCTCGAGGAACACGGGTACCTACACAGAGGCTATCGATAAATGCTGAACAGGGTGAAAGAAAGTAAGAAATATGAGGTTTTCCGGTTCGAGATTTGACGTGGAATAGCTTGGCTGGGGCATTGAAGGATATCTCGGTTCGAAAGAGAGTTTCCTTCAAAAGAAATATTTTCAATCATATAGACGAATCGTTATTTAAGACGTTCTTGACGTCTCTTTTCCATAATGGTTGTGATTGAACGAGTTACTCGCCAAGAGAAGATACTGCATGAAGTTCTAACTGTTCCTTAAAAAGAAAATATCGTTGCTGAAATAGTAGCATTTTGATATGTTTTATTTATACCAAAAATTTCATTGTTGTCACTGAAATAATTGGCAGACGTATTCTTCTATTTTAAATCGAATCTACTGTACAGAATCATTCATCTCGATATTTCATGTTTCATATATTTCATATGTTTCATATGTTTCTTATGTTTCATATGTTTCATATGTTTCATATGTTTCATATGTTTCATATGTCTCATATGTTTCATATGTCTCATATGTCTCATATGTCTCATATGTCTCATATGTCTCATATGTATCATATGTTTCATGTTTCATATACTTCGTATGTCTCACATATGTCATATGTTTCATATGTTTCATATGTTCCACATGTTTCGTATGTTTCGTATGTTTCATACGTTTCATATGTTTCATATGTTTCACATGTTTCGTATGTTTCAGACGTTTCAAATGCTTCATATGTTTCATATGTTCCATATGTTTCATATGTTTCATATGTTTCATATATTTCATATGTTTCATATGTTTCATATGTTTCATATGTGTCATATGTTTCATATGTTTCATGTGTTTCATATGTTTCATATGTTTTATATGTTTCATGTGTTTCATATGTTTCACATGTTTCATATGTTTTACATATTTCATATATTTCACAAAGGTCACATACTTCAATAAAAGAAAGTATATTTTACATACATTATTGCTAGTAAATCTCACTATTAATAAAAAGTAGCAATAAAACGTTTTGTAAAGAACCACGTCGTTTCTTAATTTACGCTTTTGTTCGAAACGAGTAACACAGGATGAAGGTACAATCGTTCGATTTCTAAATACAATCAAACTTTACGTATCGTCGATTCGCCGGTAAATCAACCTGACTTCCGGCCGAAGATAATAGAAAGTTATCCGTTAATTAATCGAACGAACCACAGAGTCAGATATATTATTTGCCGATTTCCTTACGTCCGTACCGCCGTTACCTAGTCGACGATGTGCTAATTAAGATAAATTGCCTAATCCATGGATAATTGGAGTTGGCATGGTACCGAAATCGATATCGTTACTCTTAGAAACTTGTTCGATTCGAAGGAACCGTGTTAGACATTTAGAAAACCTGTAGAAAATTTTATTTCGTTTTCACTGTGCTGGCAATGAATTCTAATTATGCAATCATTGCAAAAACTCATTTCGTGTTAAAAATGTTAAAATTGTATTGGAATCGTGTTATCTTAAAATCGTATTACAATTATGAAATATGATTGTAACATTATTGAACATTATTAAACAATGGTACTTTAACATTAAGCTCGTGTTATAATTATAAATTGTTAAAATTATTGGAAACTGAAATTTTACAACTATGTAAAAATTAACAGAAATCATGAAATTTTACAACTATGTGAAAATCAACAAAAATAATAAAATGTTACAACTACGTGAAAATCGCAAATCTTGAAACGTAACAACTAGATGAAACTCATCTGAAATTATAAAGTGGTGAAATCATGTTAAAGTCATGAGAAATTATAAAATCTCAAAACCGCGTTAAAAGTCATGAAAAATTATGAAGTATAAGAAGCGTGTTAAAATCTTTGAAATGATACAAAGATTAAAATCATAAAATATAAAAATCGTGCAGCACAAAATGTTAAAATTCAGCCAACCGTAGCAATCAAATTACAAGTATCAGAAAATGTATGTACACGGTAATGAAAGAGTTAAGTACTGTAATCAAGTTTGCATGTCCATTGATCAAAGTAGATCAAGTACCGTCGATCTATTGATACAGCTGACGAGAAGTGTTCTGACCTCTCCGCTCGCGATATCGATTAACCCCTTAATGTACGACTTTTCACCTGCAAAATAAAACTACGTTTTAAGTCTTTAAAAATTACTGTTATAAATTTGCAGTGTTTTAAAAAGGTAGGGCAAATCGTAATTAGAAAAGATAAGATAAGATATTGAAAAAAAAGTGAAGTTTGTCTTGTTGAACATAAAGGGGGTTAAAATTAACAGATTATTACGCGTAAGATTACTACGCGTTAGATTCCTACGCTTAGAATTACCACGCGTTGCATTACTACGCGTTGAATATCCACGCGCTGGATTACTACGCGTTGGATATCCACACGCTGTATTACTACGCGTTGGATTACTACGCGTAGGATTACCACGCGTTGCATTACTACGCGTTATCCGAAGCTGCCGTTCTTGCGTCTGCGCATGCGTAACCCTCGCACTCTAATTGGTCCGTGTTTTTCCTTAATAATTCAAAAACGACGCTTCAATCCCCATTTTTGCAAAGGGAAATCATATTCAGAATCAGCTACCCTCCATTTCAGGGACCTACACTAGTTATGAGACACCCTGTAGTAAAGTTTCTTGCTGAATACGGAAGAGGTTGAAATAAACAAACTGAAGCATTCCATAAATCCAAAAATCTACAATTCAAAGTCTCTAAACACCCACAAATACATACATTCCGACAAAATCTTGACCCATATTATAATTGAGTATTAAATACCTAACCTAAATACGTAAATCGTAAAGTTTCTTTCTATACACGGAAGGAGTAAGATTGAAAGAAACACAACATCGATAAATCGAACAGATCGACTCGTGGAACTGGAGTATCGCCGAGAGACCGTGCAATTAAAGACAGTGATTACGTAAAGTTTCTCGAAAACGGCTTTCCACCGAGCGGAAATGAGGATACCAAAGCCCCGCTGGAGAAGGAACTACGGTGCTGTAGACACCGGCACACGCTCGAGCCTTCGCGTGTCCTACACGCTGCACGCTGCGAGAAGAACGCGTGCGAGGACACGCACACGAGCTCGAATGCAAAAGCTGACCTGCTAGAATGGAGTTGGGCAACAACAGAGCCCAGAAGTCGTCCATCGTGGCGCAGTGGCGCAGAAACAACGGAACGAGCAGAGAAAGAACAAGGATCACCGTACGAATTAATGCGAAACTTTCCAATAAACTGAAAAGTGTACGCGATCAATTGCTAACGGTCACGGTAAAACGGTTGCACGCTGACAATGAGTAATTACAATTCTGTTTTATTGCTGCATTTGTAAATTAAACGTTCTTCGATTCCTCTGTTACAGCGTGTCAATTGGATGTTTCATGTAATTAGTGTGATTAAGGATCTTAGGATGTGTGCATATGTAGGCATACAGGTATGGGTGTTATAGGGATTCTAGGGATTTTTGGGATTGGAGGAATGCTAAGGAT